AAGTCTTCCTTGACGTTGCCGTCCTGACTGCTTAACGTCCCTGAAAGAGCATCAACCGAGGTAAGGTCCACATTTATTCATGAAAACTTACTAAAACTTACCACTGAATGTAGTCCTTGGTTCAGAAAACTTAGCTCAAAGGAAGTGTGAACCAGAGATCAACCTCTGGCTTATGAAAAAATGACTTCACAATTTTTCGCAATCCATCGCCTTATAGGTTTTCATGGGGAAATCTGTCTATGTAATAATCATAATCATAATAATAATAATAATAATAATAATAATAATAATAATAATAATAATAATAATAATAATAAATGCGTTTTTTTTTGGCGCATCAGCATAAAGTGGGGTCTGTTGACACATGTGCCATAAGTAAACAAGATGCATGACAAAGGTTGCCCAACTCCCATCTAGATGGGTCAATCGAATGTATGTAAATAAGCATTAAGTTGACTTTACGTACGTTGTGCGTCAAGGTGAGGCTTGCTCGGAAAGGGCTGTACTCTCCTGCTAATTAATTGGTCAGCCGTTGAATATGAACACAATTTTTTGAAATATTATGGTTAGGAATTGATGTCGGAACCTGAGGTTATCGTAAAATAGTATTCTTATTAATATTTTAAGTTCAGGTTCCCAGGGTTGCGCCCACAACATGACCTAACTTGTCTGATAATCTGGCTCGCTGGTTGCTTGGACGAATATCGTCTTCGATTCGATCAAGCGGAAATATAATTCGATTGTCTGTTTCCTTTGCAAGTTGTTTCACGTGATGGGTAGCAGGACATGGCGCTCTAGACGGAGGGGTAGTATTGTTAGCATTATGATGCAAATCATTATTGAAGCACTTTATATTCATATATGTATACCTATTTTTGGCGGGCTGGTACGATATCTTCACCGCAGCGACTGCGATATCTGTAAACAATTGACCGTATGAACCACCCGGCTTTGCTTACCAATGAGGCATGTTTTTGTACGTTTTTCTTCGTGTTTGTTTTGTCTTTTCGCGTTTTGAGAGCTTAATTCGAGTTTCGATCCAGTTGGATGGGTTTTAACTGGAATAATGCCTCCATTTAGTGTCTCCTTTGTATTGGGTTTTACATTAACATCATTACGGTGGTCTTGATATATTCATTTAACAGAATGGCGCGTTCAAGTGTGTTTATGTGCTTATTCTTTGCTGCATTCGTCGGAGAATTTTGCCTTGGTCATGAGGTAGAGGTAACTAAATGTATCGATGGACCTTATCACAAACAGAGGCCAACTGCTGAAGGAGCGAACTATGTTGAATGCCACCCTTGGAAGGAAAAAACGTGCTGTACTGCTGACTTCACCGCTCAACTCAATAAAAGTAATGTGGAAGTTCTGTATAACTTTTCATGGCACCACTGTGGTAATCTCTCAAAGGTAGGAAAGAACATCGATACGATTTTGTTTGATAATAACTAACAATTTTTTTTGGATAATTTTTGTGAGAATTTCAAGTTATGTCATACTTGCGTTCTAAAAGTACTTTTCACTAAGATCAGCCATGCGTTCGCTTCTAGTAATGATAAAATGATATGCAACCGCTAAAAAGCCGCATCCGCTGTGACAGAGAGACCTTTGCACCCATTCGAGGATCACGTTTACCAAAATATTGCAGCAGCGAATCAGTAACTTCGTTTAAGCCCTTTTTTGATGAGAGCTTTTCATCCAATCGGGTGTAAATACAGCAGCCTATTTGGGATAATGATTTCTTACTATAAGCAATTTTTGTTTACATAACGGTGTTATTAGGGTAATATCTGTTTCATTATGTGGATGTTGCCACGTTATTGCGGAGATAAACTCTTCCATTATAATCTCGTAAATCACTCTACGGATCACCGTCGCAACAGGATCCTGAGCGAGTGAGCAGGTTTTCGAGGTCTTTTGTTTTTTCCACTATTAAAAAAGTTGTTGGTCGTAAAAAGGTATTGAATAACATAGTGATCCCAATTTTTATCCATATTTTGTGATCCACGATCCCAAAATTTCGGATAATTTTGATCCTTGATCCCGAAAAACTACAATAATCCCGTCTGAAAGAAAGTTGATCCCTTCCAAGACCATAGCCAAGGTATAGCGATCCCTGTTCTGGCCAAGTGGACGATGTGTCCACTTGCGGCGATGTGTTGGCCGTGGCCTGATTCATATGAACACTTATGTGTAGCCTTTACGTCTGTCTCTGTCTCCACGTGCCTGACTGGAGACCATGACTGTAATCTTCGACTAAAAATCCTACCCCTTCCCCCTCCCCCATAAAAAAATAGTATGGAACGGAGACACACAAGAACGAGATTGCTTTAATGGAGATGTAAAATATGGACCTTTTAACAACATGAAAAAACATGAATTACTATACATTCTCTTACGTCATACCTACATACAATAGATGTGACGTCATGCCTACAGACGATAGTTTTGTGCGCTCTTGTCTTTACAAGTACAGCTCAGGAATATGCATGGTAAAACGATTATTGGATTCGGTTTTCGCATGATAACGATAATTATCAAGGCCTCAGTTTGTGTTATCCGCCTCAGCCTTCGGCTTCGACAGATAATTGTTGAATACTGTAATGACAGGAGCGAACTCGTTACACTTAACGCTATCATTACGCAACCGTGACAGCCCAAAATTACTCATTACATGTCAATTTTTTTTTTTTTCGAAGGGAGAGCATTTTGCCATTTGAATCAGCAAATATTCTTAGAAGATCCAGAGATATTTTTTCAGTTCTTGCCGCGACACCACAAAAGATAATAAACATCTCAAAATAATTTGACAGTGGCCACATGATTGATTTTTAAAAATTCCTGAATAGGTTTGATCTGCATGTCGTAGAAACTTAAAGAAATGTTTCCTTTATTCGAAGAGAGAGCATTTACCTTTTCAGTCAGTACTAATGCCTTAAAGAGCCTCTAAATTTGCGACGCGAGCAAGTTCAGAATATAACGGTCAAAAATCGCGGTACTTATTTGAGAAGTGAAAGTTATTACGATAATTCTCAAAGTTAATAAAATAACATATCGCATGGCTTTCTCTTTGTAAAAGTCTGTTAGTTTGACAGATTTTAAATCTACGGGGAAAAAGATTTTCACCAGTCACTTGATAGATATTAGATTTTTCTAAAGCTAACGTTTTGAGCGTTAACTGACAACTAGTCAAAGCGAAAACAACTTAATAAGGTTTTACTTTACTTATCTCTCTGAGGGTACCCAAGTCTTTTCTAAGTCAACAGAATGAATTCGTATAACCCGTTCGCCATATGCTACATTTATTATTTTCACTACAGTCGCACCTCGATTATCCGGACTCGTTGGGACAAGACAAAATAGTCCGAATAATCGAGGGTCCGGATAATCGAGAATATGAATATAAATGACGAAAAAACTGATTAAATTAAGAAAACAACATCTAATCGTGAAACGAAACACTTACAAATCGTTTTGACAAAAATATGGTCTACAAGCCTGAGCAGTTACTCTGAATCGTTCCATTTGGCGTTGAATTCAGAAAAAACGAAATGGATGTTTCTCTCTACAAGACAATTGGCGCACGCACACTCTTTAAATGATTTTTCTGCAGATGTATACTGCGGTGACATTAAACTTGAGAAAGTCTCAAGCACCATACTTTTGGGAGTTTATCTGGATCAGGAACTAACATGGAAAGAACACATACCGAATCTGTTGTCATCGTGTTACGGTGCTCTAGCAGTACTACGGAAACTAAAAAACTTCGCACCATACCACATAAGAAAACAACTGGTGGAAAGTCTTATACTCTCTAAACTGGATTATTGTAACGTTGTGTTTAGTCCTCTCCCAGAGTACCAGACCAAACGCCTTCAAAGAGTACAGAACACGTGTGCGTGTTTTGTGTTAACTAAATTTGCTGGACTTCAGGATGTTAGAAAGCTAGGTTGGCTCACAATCAAAGAGCGTTTAGAATTTAATATAGCTAAGCTAGCGCACAAGTCATTATACAATGAGGACTTTACACTAAAACTCAAGCAACACGTCGTAAATAGATATAGTCTTAGGTCATTAGCTGCACCAAAATTAGAACTTGCCAACAAAATTGAGAAGAACACTCTATATGATCAAGCTGCAGAAGCTTTTAATAAGCTTCCTGCGGAGCTAAGGAATTGCAGTGACCATGCACTTTTTTGTATAAATCTTAAGAGACACATACTGACATACAATGGATAATCTAGTATAGTTAACAATTATTCCACGAGCGCGCGTTGGATATGAGATGATAGATAGCCAACGAGGCGCGTAGCGCCGAGTTGGCTATAATCATCTCATATCCAACAAGCGAGAGTGGAATAATTGTTTTATTAAAAAAAACGCCCCCAAGATATGAGACAAATCTTCTCGACTTTATTTTGTGAGAAGAAACCGGATTTAACAATGTACAGAAATTATAATATGGTATATTGGCTCATATACCATAATGGCTGAGCCAATAAAAAGTCTTGAATTGTATTATCCAATGATCCAGTTTTTAATAATTTTTATTATTCACTATTTTATCAATTTTGATTTATTGTAAGTATTATGTATATAGTTAGTTTTTATATTAGTAGCCAAGAGCCACTATGTGGAAGTATGCTAATAAAGGTCATTATTATTATTATTATTATTATTATTATTACAAGTGACAGAACCATCTTACCCACGAACAAGCAACACTAAGCCAATTAGTTACGACGCGTGCGCGCGCTGCTTTTGCTTTTTGAAAGCGAAACAAACTCGCTTCTACTTCACTTTTCAACGCCGTAGTTTTAAAAAGAATATGGCTACGGATCTTGATCATGATTAATAAATGGTATTGAAAGAACTTTTGTGAACAATTGAATCACTGGTGCGTGTCCAAACAGGCACGACTCATGAGATGTACTGGACTGTTTAAAACAAGTACATGCTTTTTTTTTTTTTTAGCCAAGAACAAGCCAAGAACATTCTGTGGAGCCAAAAGGTCATGCATGTGCGCGCATACGTGTAGCGCTTTTGAATATACTCGCCAGATTCTGCAAGTTGATTAACGATTCCCCGTTAAGAAGCTTGAAGAACTATAAACGCGTTCTTATAACTCCGTTCCGTCTTCCTCCGTATTCCCAGAAGAGATTACCGTTTATTTGCAGGGAAAAGTTATGATCATCACCACCAACAAATAGTGCAATCATATGAGAGAGTAATAGTTGGACCAGGGGTTCTATGAGCTCTGAAGAGAACTCATGGTCCAAATAACTAACATTTTCCTCTGCAATTTTTGTCTGGCTTCATGCCTCTTTCTTTTCACGAGCAGCTAAAAGTTTTCCGTCAAATTGCGCGTGATGGATTACCTGCCAGATTATAGACTGTTAGTTATAGCTGTAGGTAACTGCATTTCAGTATGAATGCAGTTTACCCTCTAATTGTTCATTCATGGCAACCATTGTTATATGATAAGACAAAGACTAGACTTGGAATATACCCGAATTTTAAATCTAGGATTTTCAATCCGTCAAATTTACAACTTTTCGTCCTTAAGATTGGACGCTGAAACGCCCTTACATAGGGAAGACGTGCATCTTTAAAAAACTGCTTTATTAATAAGGGATTGCTGCTTATTTTTGAAGAAAAGTAAGACGAATCTCATTAAAGGCCTCTTCTTACACTAAAAGGTCCCTCAAAGCCTAGTTTTGAAAAGTAAAAGTCAACAACTTCAGCAACCAGTAAAATTCATCAGCTAACCCACCAGCTAACTCATCAAGTTTAAAACAAGTCCTTAAGTACTTATCAGTCATAGGCCTGTGGATGTTAGAGAACTAAAGTAAAATTACAAACCCAAATACTTGCACAAGGTGTGTAGAAGAGAACAACAAAGTACGTGATATTCTACACTACTGAAAACAAAAACCCAAACAGGAACTATGTTGTTGGTTCGTACAAAGGAAAACTGAGTACCAAAAATATTAACCACGACCACCTGCTTGTACTAAATGTTGTAAGACAAAAGAAATCGCAGTGGTGGTCTCAATATCTCGGTTAAACGGGGGAGACTGTTCCAAAATCTCAATTTCTAGCGGCATCACTTTTTAATCTTCCCACCAGAACTCAGGGAAAGCTCACTAAAGCTTCTTTGATTGAACTTTGTGTGAAATAAACACTGAGCGCTAAACAAAGCAATCGTTGCACGTGGTTTTGAAGGCAAATGTCACCTGTGGAGCGTATCATTCCTCTAGCTGTATAAAAGTAGAATATATCTGATCTTAAATACTTGTACCCCTAGAAATAATTGTTTTTTTTTTCTTGAAAAGGAGTGCGAGAGGTACATAAAAAACGAAGAGTGTTTCTATTCGTGTGAGCCCAGCCTAATCAAGTGGCATACCTCTAAAGGAGGCGTCAAAGGGGTTCCAATATGTGCTGACTACTGTGATAAATGGTTTGATGCTTGCAAGAACGACATGACTTGTGCTGAAGATTGGCTGGAAGATTTCAACTTCACTTCAAGCCAATACAGCTGCCGAAGTAATTCCCAATGTCGCAAATTTAGCGAGGTATTAATAATATAAATTTACCAAGTTATATAGCGTGTATTTACATGTGCTGATCAATAGCGCTTACATGTTGTTGTTAAGGTTGAGATCGGACGTCAAAATTTTATCAGGCGTCTCGGCAGTCGCTTCAGTCCATGTCACGATCTCACCTTCCCACCCATCCCACTCATCCCAACCATCCCACCCATCCCAACCATCCCACCCATCCCACCCATCCCACCCCAGGGGAGGACATCCATCACACAGTAATGTCGTGCGTGGGAATTAACGTCTCCTGCCCCAACCCTACAGGAGACAGGACCTACGGCTTTACGTCTTATCCGAAAAGACGAAGCAATCTGAGTGGAGCGACACTACGTAGTGCCCCAGCCAGGACTTGAACCCGGGCCATCCGACCAGAGTCCAGCGCACTGACCGCTGTTTACACTCATGCCTCACGTGATGTAGACAGCGCGTTAGTGACGGGCTCGCCGTTGGATGCTAGTCTTAGCTAGCAGTGGGAATCCTTGAAACGTCATTTCCTATCCCCAAGAGCATTCAATTGTGGGACTACCCTCATATCGACAATCGGACCTTACAATCAATCGTGGCTCCCGGCAGGTTCAATTATCAAGAACTGTAACTGTAAATGAATGAAGGGGCAAGTTTCTAAAGAAACTGTGGTGTTGCGTGGGACTAACAAGGTAATTTGAGTGTTATCAGCTGAGTTCATAAAGTAAATTGGCCACCGTAAAGAGTTTCAAAGCTGACGTTTCGAGCGTTAGTCCTTCGTCAGAGCGAATGACGAATGGCTAACGCTCGAAACGTCAGTTATGAAACTCTTTACGGTGGCCAATTTGCGTCATTAATTCAGTTTATAAAACCCTAATTACACTGGAATAACAAGTGTATTATTATTTTCAGCTGTATAAGGACGGAAAAGGGTTATGCAACAAAATGTGGGGACAATCATTTACTTATGAAAAAAGCGACAATTGTATGGTGATGTGGTTTGCTGGCAAGAACCCAAACGAAAAGGTCAAGCTATCAAGCTTGCCCTTTGACCCAGTAACAAGCGAAACGACTAAACAAACGACCAAACAAACGACCAGTGCCGCAGTAACAAGCTACCAGGCTGAGTTCATCATCACAGCTTTAGCTCTTACTATGCTAAGCATACTACCAGCAGTGATAAACACAGCATACTTGTAGGTTTCTTGTGTGTATTCTCCGACCCCTCCATCCGCACTGTAGCTCGATCACGCGGGCTTTCGTACCTTGTCCAGGGGGAATGTGTGTAGCTCTGGTGGTAGTACACTTGGTAAACCTCGTTTATTACTATGTTTATTCCTTGCACCAAAAACCTCAATTTACTTCTAAAATTACCGTGACCACAAGGAAATTTTCACAAACACAGTTGGCATTCTCCTTCAATTGGAACAGGGCATTGAAAGGTGAATATTGTTTCTATGATAACTACTGAATTAAAAGGCACAATTTCGAAGTGATTCAGCGACTTTCTATGCAGTTTTTCTTAACCTATTTTTGCACAATGTTCTATATTTATCCTTTTATTAATTTTTTTTATGTGAAACTACAATTCAAATTGGTATCACTGCTAAAAGTGCTATTCTGGATCCCAGAGAAGCTCGATTTTTGTACGCAGCGAGAGCCTAAGTAGATCAAATAAAATCTCCAGTTTTTCTCTCGACCTTTCCTCAAGAGCGGATAGATTGTTAGGCTATAGACTGGATAAAATGCTGACTGCACAACGATAAAATATATGTAAAGAAGCCGGCAACACGCATCAATACAGCTTTGGATCTAAGTTTGATCAAATTACTATTCATCCTGTAGTTGATCAATTTGTGATGTAATAAATAAGTAACTGCGTCAAATGGTGAGAGTGATTATTGAGTTGAGGTCGTTGATGGTTTATAACCTGCTAAAATTAATTCGATGTGGAATTATCGTTGGTCACCATCTCTATTTCACTTGCGGTTTGAGATTTTTTATGCTACGAGTTGCTTCAACAGCTGAGTACTAGCTAACGAGAGGGCTCTCTTTGGTCCTACGACACGAGCGGTGAACCCCCGCGTTTTGCGCCGGACGAGTGCACTGAGCATGTAAGAAGTCTGCGAGGGATCTGGGAAAAGTTTGGAATGCCAGACCATTCAGAAACTTCCCACATGCTCTCCTCTCTCCCTGTTTCGAATCTTGATGGGCTGCTCACACCATAGCGCCAAATGTAACCTGCTTGCAGTAGACATTTTTGTATTTTTATATTTATACAGGATAGCCTCTTCAGTGTAGTAAACACTGGTATCAACGGGGGTCCTGTTACCCACCCATCCCACCCCAGGGGAGGACATCCATCACACAGTAATCTCGTGCGTGGGAAATTAACGTCTCCTGCCCCTAACCCTGCAGGAGACGGGACCTCCATTTATTCGTCCCTATCCGAGAAGACTAGAATATCTAACCATTTCTTGATGTTAAAGAAAGGAAGCATATTCTTCTCAGTTAATTTTAAGACCCTGAGTGTTGGTCCGGCCGGTATTGAACTCTCGACCTCCCGCACAGCAGTCCGGCGCTCTCCCAATTGAGCTAACCAGGCGGCGGTTAATGTAGAGGACTTAACAGATAAAATCGTTGAAGAAGGTGAAATAGAAATCATCATGTTATAATGAAACAATTTTTCGTGTTTATCTACTTTCTATTGCGGCTTCTATTCAAGAGCAGCTTCTATTTTTTCTTTTCACGAAGTTTTTGCGGCTTCTATTGAAAGGCGGCTTCTTATCAAGGGCGGCTTCTATTCAAGAAAATACGGTAAGCACACTGAGATTTCATAGCAGAAATACTGCTCTATCGGCCACATCGCAAATGTTTTTAACCCTGGCAGAAAATGAAAAGAAAACAAACTGGTCGTATTAAAAGGAAACGGAATGAGCTCCCCAAAATTTATTGTTTCCGAATTTTTTCCGAATCTTTGCGAATTTGACTGTAAGTCGTGACCTCCACTC